CAGGAGCGGATACAGGCGTCGTAGTGGCCTGTGGTGCAGGCGTGCTCGCCGGTGTCGGCGTGGGCGTCGTTGTTGGTACGGTTGTACCAAGGCGAGATGCCAGCCGACCGAGGAAATTCAGAGCCACCGCAGCGTTGACTGTAATATCATGCATTGCGCTAAGGGCAAAGCAAGATATTACGAAGGCAACGACAGGGTAAGATACAGAAAGGAGAGCAAGATACGATATAACGAAGAGGGAAATAAAGAACGAGAATTCTAACTGTGCTCTGTAAACCCTAGACTGAGCCGGTGTGGGCGCCGTTGTTACTACGGTGTTTGGTGCCACGTAGGCACCAAACGATACGTAGAACAAGAAGGCGTTCCACGTGGCTATAGGGTTCAGGAGCACGTTGGAAAGGAACCATACTACAGAATGCATAGATAAGAAGACGTGGCGTAACAACGCGTTCGGGGACTTGACAGCGGTAGATGCCGCAGAAGACGGTGCGGGGAAGAGGAATTGGAACAGGGCGTTAGCGATGGCGTTCATCAGGCCTGCACGTAAGCTGTTGCTTACCGAGCCTAGATGAATGACCCATCCTCTAAGCGCGTCAGGAGCGAAGAATACAATAAGGGGCCAGAAGCAGAAATCAAGCGCGCATAGCGCGAGGAATATTGTATTGTTCATGATTTTAATTTCGTACGACGCGGGGAGCGTTTCGCCCTTCATGGGCTCATCAGGTACAAGGCGGAACTGGGTGTACCCACGTGGTCACGGGTGGAACACAAGTGTTCTGTGTGTGACCGTGCGGTCAGACCGGGAACAAAATTGTTCGGACTTTGACTATGTGGTCAAGATGGGAAGAAAGTTGTTTGATGTCTGAGCGCGTGGGTACTGGGGTTCCGCGGTGGAATCCAAAATAATTGGCGGTTCTAAATAATCATGGAGGTATAAATCATTGGCGGGTCTAAATAATTGGAAAAGAAATGAAGTTAGAATAATGGGCGGCTCTAAATAATAATGGGGTATCAATAATTCAAAATCATAG